GTGCTGCTCTAGAGAACAGGCTTAAACAGGGAAAAAACATTTTCAAAACTAACAAACAATTACTCCAGTTAGAACAGGAGCTTGGTCGTTTTAATATCGACTATTTCTCAGTCATGAACATTGATGACTCCCATTATCGTTATAAAGGACATACATCCGATGATGCGAAACAACTTGAAATCAGACCACATAAACGTCCTCCTGTCTCGACTATAAATGCAGACAGGCACACCACCCACATCAAGAAATTGAGACTAGATATTCTCTCTTCAGCAGACTTTAAAGTCTCCGCCTCACTTTAACAATTTTTAGATCACCTATCAGCTTATCTTTTTTTTTTAGTGGCACGCTGATAGTCATAGTTTGCGTTATACCTAGCCACTTTTTTTTACTTTTTTTGACTAGTATTTTTATACATCTTTTTTTTTTTTGGGTAACCCCCACGTACACCTTTTTAACAACGTACAACAATAAGAATAGTGTGAACCATTCCACCTCTTACAGTATTAACAGGTGGCGGTCTTTTCGACCGAAAGAAAAATACGGGTCTATGTTTAGATTGCCTTTACTTTGGTTTATTAGGATGTGATGTCGTGTTAGGGACTCCTCCAAGTTCGTTGAAAGTACCAGAGTGGAGCTGTCCTCGGGCGGTTTGATTATAGCTTAGTATTAGATAGCGTTCGACTTTTGTTTTATCTTTTGTTCTTGTCTATCTTTCTGTAATCTTGTTCACGTGGTTTTAAAAATAAAAATAAAAAAATAAGTTATAAATTCTGAAAATACTTAAAATATGAAATATAAAACATAAATATAGGGATTATATTAATCCCTTTATAGGTCCTTCAGGATACTGATATTCTACCTAAACTTGCAAAATAAAAATACACCTCTTTTCCCTTAAATTCAACCTGAAAATGAAGAAATAATAATAAACATCACCTTTTTATTATGTTCTTCAATAATTTTTCTCCAGCATAATTCTAACCATTGTTTAATTTTGTCTATTGAAAGAAAATAAGATATTAGTTAGCAGTGTGAACTTTTTATTTAGAATAAAGAAGGTACATAGTTAGTTCTTGAACCAACAGACAACACTTCATCACCATATTTCATAAAAAAAGCCTTTGGAAAGAAATGATACCATACTATCCAAGTGGTGTGATCTACTGCCATGGTCTTTCAGGATACTGATATTCTAAGCTTGCAAATAAAAATTACACACCTTTTTCTTTAAATTCAGCTTCAGTTTTCAGCCTCTTTTAAAAATTTAAGTGGCCAGAATTTATCTAAATTTATCCAGTTTGAAATAAAATAATGAAGAAGTAAGAATTGACAAAAGATATATATAATAAAAAAATAATATATGACAAAAAAAATATTTAACAAAAAAAATTGCAGGTTTTTAAATAAAAAAATTACTGAATATTTAATATTGCCAAAAAAGACCTATAAAAAATTAATAAATATGACACATTATAAAAAGATATTGGTGTTAATGAAAGACCATTGTTTAGCCTTGAGTCATTCTCAAACTATATAAAATTATAAATTCGCTATAATTAAAAAAAAAGTATCATAATGAATTGAGTAAGCGTCTTATTCACTCGTGAATATCTTAATTTTCAACCATTTCTACCATTACCTCTGTCTCATAGTATCAATTAGGTACTTATCATCATTTTGTAGTTATTTTGTCTAATTAGAATTATCGGTATTTAGCTACACGTGTTCAGATAATCACCCCAATTTTTAAAAAATTGATCACCTGTTTGCCCTGGATGTAAACATTACCCTTGAACTTTTAACCCCGGATGTTATATATTGTGTAGATCGCAAAATTTTGAAGGCGAAATGGAATACCAAACGTTTTTAATTTCATTTCTGGAACTACGAATATAGTACCTTCTTTATCATCTTAAAACCAATCGTTTTTACCAATTAATATTCTTCATTCTTTACTTACGAATGATTTCATTAGTTATTCCACCTTTCACTCTTGATATAAATATGAATATTTCTCTTCTTGAATAGCGAAAACTCACAAAAGGAATTGTTAATTCTCAGTGAAAGATGCTGTTATTCTTAAAAGGATGTCAAAAAAGAGTATTTTTCACTGAAAATATAAATAACATATCAAAGCAAATTAAATGACTAAAAATTTTTTACTTTTTTATTTAATTCACAGTAGGAGATAAATAATTTTACATTCAATTAATTCTAATCAAGATTTTTATGGAGATTTTAGTGAATGGATTTGTAATCAAATGAATTTATAATGTACAGAGACAAAAACTAATTATTACATTATTATTGAGATACACTTTTTTTTTAACTTTGTCATTTTATTTTTATTTATTCTAGAATAGCTTAGACTGTTACAGATAACACAAACTAATTTTTAAGCTTTTTTTAATTAAACTATTTTTACCAAACTTGTCGTGTACGTACATTTAATTATTTTCTGAAAATAAAATAAAGAGAAACATAAAAACTCAAAGAAAAAAATTTTTTTTTTTCTCTCACTAACCAAATTAAAAATGTTTATTTGATTTTGTGTTCTAATATGGAGTAAGAGGAATACATAATTGGTCATAGAAGATAATACAAATAATCCAACTTCGTGTTGTTTATTTGTATTTATGACGGTATTCTTTATTTCAAAAATAAAAGTTCCATTTTTTTTTATCAGTCCGCCCATGTAAAGCAGGGTTGTGAAACAAATATCACGTTTTTCAGTTAAATTATTAAATCCCTTAATTTAGGCCGATTCTGCAGATCGCGGATATGATTAAACTTCCGTAATATCATAGTAATTGTTAATTTACAGTATTTATTTACAGTTATTTCAAAAATTAATTTATTGAGATATTAAAAGAATTTATTTTATCTGGATAAATCAGTTAAGAATTATTTTTGCAAAATCGCGTAACCAAAACTTTAAATCAAATTTGGTATGATAATGTTATTATCATTGCTGAAAATAGTCTCATTGATCGAATGTTGCAGCAATCTTTTCGCAAATGAAACTCCGAAATGTCGTAAATTTTTTCTTAAATAAATTAACTTGTGTAAGACGTTTTAAAATATAAATTAAATTTTTGTACAATTAAAAAATATATTTTGCAAAAGAAATTAACATGTCTAAAAAGTCTAATAGGAACTTCAGAAATTTCAGAAGTAATAATTCAAATACTTTGAGTGAATATGAATATAGAAAAAATAAATATGGTTTATGTACCGATTGTGAACAACCAAAAACCTTCTATGTTTGGTGCCAATTTTCAACATGATTTTGGTAAATGGACTAGTGGAAATAAATATATTGACAAGTTTATTCAAGAAACTCAACTGAAAGCAAGAAAAAAAGAAGTTGTTATAGGATGGATTCCTTACAATAGATTTAGAAATATTAAATATCTTTCTAAAGGTGGATTTAGTACTGTCTATAGAGCTATTTGGTTAGATGGGTATATAGAACAGTGGAATAATAAAGCCAAAAAATGGGAAAGGTATACCGTTTTCGTTATGTATAGTAATGACTATGAAATTGCAAAAGATGTTAAATCATCACTTAATAAAAAAAGAAGGGGATTTCATGTTGCATTAAGAGCTTAAATAATTCATCAAATATTAATGATGATTTTCTTAAACGAAGTAAGTTTTTCTTTTAAAAAAGTACATACTTGTTTTAATTTAATATTATTGTTTAATTTTTAGTTGACAAATCATCTGCAATGTGTGAGTCGAAGTCGTTCTTATGAGTCAGCTGTACGCACATATAGAATAACGCAAGATCCAGAAACATCAAATTATATGATGGTAATGAAATTTATGGATGAAGGAAATCTAAGAACTAATTTAAGAATAAAATCTTATCAAAAATATCATAGTTTAGTGTATATTGCAAAAGCACTTTTAACTTTACACAAGCGTAATTTAGTTCATGATGATTTTCATAGTGGAAATGTACTTCTAAGTAGTATCGGTAACCGACATGTTATAAGCGATTTTGGATTAAGTAGACCAGTAAATAAAACTGCTATTACAAATGAAATTTATGGAGTAATTCTTTACATAGCTCCAGAAGTATTGCGTGGAAAGCTATATACTAAAGCTTCTGATATTTATTCTTTTGGAATTATTATGTGGGAACTTACATCTGGTATTCCTGTTTTCAACAATAGACCTCATGATTTTGACCTTTCTTTAGATATTTGTAAAGGATTGAGACCGAAAATTGTTGAAGACACATTACCCGCTATATATGTTATATATGTAAGATTAATGAAGAGGTGTTGGGATTCTGATCCTAATAAAAGACCAACAGCTGACGAAACCATTCCATACTAAGGTCAATACAGCCATATTTAAACCCTGGTACGGTCATGAATCCCCTAACGATAAAGTATAGTGACTATCAGAACGTTTAACTGAGTAGGATGTACAAACATACTCCTTTGAACTGCAATCTAATATTCCCATTTGATCTTTTCTTCTCGTGAAAATTATCATGCAATTTTGACAGTTTGCTCTTTCTCTCCTATAAACTTAGTGTTGATACAGGAACATATCTGTTATATTGTAACCACAAATCCTATCGCTATAACGAAAAAAAATTTTTGTGGAATAATAAGAAGAACTGCATCGTAGCTCAAGAAACTAACGTAGTAGTTAATCGATAAAAAAACAGTATATATTATTTAATATCATTAAAATCACTTTTTCGGTTTATTTAGATTTACCCGTTCCTGGTATTTATAGTTTTATTTTTTTTTACTAGTTACATATTAATTATTTTTTAATACTAATTGGTTCCGAAAAGAGCGTCAATCATCGCTAGTGAATAAAATTATTTAAACTTTTAATCCGCCAGGATAAACGAAGAAACTAGTACGTGGTGGTGTTCTTCAACAGTTTCAAGAAATTACAAGAGGCTACCAACTAGTTGGTCATCGCTTACGAGAATAGAAAATAAAAACCTACTATCAAATTAATAAAGTATTATAAAGAAGAAAACTATATATAAATGTAAATGAAATATATCGAAAATAAAAAAAAAATACTACTAATAATACAAAACCAAAATAAAGTAAGAATAAAATTAAAAATAACCACTAGGTCACTACACCCTGTGGCTTCATTATAATAAATATATAAAATAATAAAATGAAATTAATTAAATAAGCCTTGAACAAGAAAACCATTCTTTATAGAGAGGCAAAGATCATTTAATTTACGCTAAACAAATTAATAATTATGTAAAAAAATAAATGAGTTATCATTTCATAAACAGATTTTTATTAATAAATTTTTTTTACACAACATTTACTTTATTTTACCAACATACCAACAACAATTAAATTTAATAATTAGCCTCGTAGTTCTTAGGGAGAATTCTGGAATCCCATATTTCCCATATCATAAGAAACAGTTCCGTCTACTGAAATTGAAGTTGTATTATAGGTGTCATTATTTGAGTATACTTGGGAAGTTGGTTGAGTAGTATCGAAGTATTGTTGTTGAATGTTATCTTGTTGATAAACAATAGGATGTTGGACTTGTTGCTGAATCTGTTGCCGAATTAGGGATTGTACATTATAATGGTACGGCAACTGGTAATCAGGGACATGAGATAGATTAATCCTATTATTCAAAATTTGAACATTTTCTGATGGATTTAATTCAGAATAAGTAACACGATAGATACGAGTATCGTTTGGTAAATAAAAATAAAACTCAAATGTAGTATTATTAGGCGCAAGAGTCGTAGAATTAATAGTATTAATGTGCAAGGTGTTTAAATTCGTATTAGATACTCCAACATTGTTAATTAAAGTATGTTGGATGTTTTCATTATTATTATTATTATTAGAAATTTGTTGAGGAGAAGGGCTATTTTCAGTTTGATCCGTTTGTAAATTATAATAATCTTGTGTATTTTGGTTATTTGAATTCATGTTGTTCAAATCCAGATGATAATAAGTAATTAATATAATTAGGAAATTTAAATTTAAAAAAGCAAATTAATTTTTATTCTTTAATCAAAATGGAAGGTTTTTATATTTTTTATAGACTTCTATTTAAAAAATAGCGGATATTTTTGCGGTTTGTTTATATATTAAGGTGAATATTTCGAAACGAGGGGTAAATTATTGATCGGCATAAGAACGGAATTATGATAGCAATTAATTCCGCTCCACAAAAAAAAAAATAATTTAGTTTATCTTATTACGTAAATAATAATACAAAAAATAAACATTAAGTATTAAAATATATACATAGCCTGTGTAAGAATGGAATTATGATTCCGCTCCACAAAAAAATTTTTTTTAATATAATCTATTACATAAATGTATAGTCTGAAATGTAAACAAGAAACTAAACATTGAAGATTAACCAATATATAAAAATATATATAATCTGTTAAGAATGGAATTATGATTCCGCTCCACAAAAAAAAAATTTTTTAATTTAATTTATCTCATTACATAAATATATAATCTGAAATGTAAAAAAGAAAATAAACATTAAAGATTAACAAATATATAAAAATATATATAACCTGTTAAAGAATGGAATTATGAGTCCGCTCCACAAAAAAAAATTTTTAATTTATCGTATTACATAAATATATAATCTGAAATGAAACAAGAAATAAACATTGAAGATAAAAATATCGGTCATTAAATTCTTAATCGACTGAACAAATAACTTTTAATGAGATATCCAATATTGAAATCATTATTAATAGCATTAATTCCTATTGATCATCGCAGTATTGAACTATGATCGAACTATAACTCAGTTATTGGACGGTTTTCGACCGATATCTCTTCAATAACCTTACAATGTTATTTTTACTGTTAATAATAGAGAAATAAGTATATAAATACAAAGAGATAATATTTTCCATCCAATAATATATATAAACATTGATTAAAATAAATATAAATAAATATATATACTGTATATGAGTTTAAAAAATTTAATTTGATAGGTTCAATCAGCAGCCGTGAAGATCATTGATATTCATGACTCCCCGTGAAATAAGTAATTTACATATAGCCTGTGTAAGAATGGAATTATGATTCCGCTCCACAAAAAAATTTTTTTT